CCACCCTTCCCCCACTCCCTGGTAACCATAAGATTGTTTACTGTGTTTGCAAGTCTGTTTCTGTTTGGTAGGTGAGTTCATTTACTTTAAACATCTGAATTGCATGCTCTTCAGAGATCTTGCATTCATACTGGGTTGATCCACAAAAGAAATAAATAGAAACTGCAAGAAAAATGAATTTCTCTCTAATTCTTACTCGAGTATGACATCTGAAAGTCAAGACAATTTCTTGGGCTTCATTCCTAGTGAATTTTAATTTTTACTGTGTTTTGCTAAAAAGAGTGGTCCTTGAATGTCCACCTCTGCCAGTTTCAACCAAATACTATAAGAGAAAAACAACCAGAAATAGAACATATATTCTAGCCCATCACTGCCCAAATGTCTCTGAAAAGGAAAAAATCAGGATTGTTTGGCAGTGGATACTAGAAATGAAAACAAGCTAGAGAAATGGGGCCTGAGTGGTTTTAACAACAGCAATTTCAGTGTCTTTTAAAATCCCTAATATTTAAACAATGAAGCAAAAAGTCTATTTTTGAAACAGCCTAAACTCACTTTCTTACCTTAATTCACTGAAACAGTTATCTATTTTTAAACAATAGATTTTCTGATTTAGAAAATAATATAAAAAAAGTAATAAATTTTTTGCGTAATGGCTGAAAACAGAAAACTAGAAGAAAAAAATTAGTGTGATACCTCAAGATGTTTTAGATAACCCCTTATATATAAATATATCCATTTTAATGTAAAATTTAATTTAAAATATAAAATTTTAATATAAAATTTATGTATGTAGATGATAGTCAATCTTAAAGATTTTTAAAAACAGTACTTTCTAGAACAGAAAAACTTGCCAGGTTATTGGTACATTGCATCTATTTTATTTCAAATTCTAGGAAAGCCATCTTTAATAAATTTGGGGTAGCCATCTCCCATCATCTGCCTTTCTTCACTGAAGCTATCATAAAATTGAGGATGAACTCAAAATTGCACAAAACGTTATCTTAATCATGCTATACCTTAAAGAGGTTAATATTTAAATTTTTTCTGTATGTTCTAGTTGGCTAATTTCAGAAAATTATAGACAGGAATTCACTGCAACCATGAACTGC